GTACCGCCCGGGGCGCGGGCTGCTGCTCTACTACCAGTACGGCCTCGGCTTCTACCTCTCGGAGTGCTTCTCCCACCTCGCCGATCGCGACATCAAGCGCTCGGACTTTTTGGAGTACGTCATCCACCACTTCGCGACCATCGCCCTGATCGTGCTCTCGCACTGCGCCTACGAGCACCGCTTTGGCGCCTACGTCCTGTTCCTCCACGACGCCAGCGACATCATGCTTGCGGTGAGCAAGGCCCTGAGCTACGTCGTGAAGGCCGCGGAGGAGAGGGAGCAGCGGGCGGCGAGGGACGGAGGAAAGCGCGCCGAGTCTGCGGAGGCCCCGGCGTCCCTCCTCTACAAACTCGTCTTCAGCGGCACGACGGTGCTCGTCTGCTTTGCCGCCTTCATTGCGACGTTTTTCTTCTTCCGCCTCGTTTGCCTGCCGTCCCTCGCGTTGGCAACGGTGGGGCTTGCGGTGAATCTGCGCAAGTGCACATTGTGCTACTGGGTGTTGGTGTTTCTCCTGCAGGTGGTGCTGCAGGGGCTGCACGTGTACTGGTTTGCGCTGATTGTGAGGCTGGCGGTTCGGACGATTTTTGGTGGCCCGCTTGCGGACATCCGCTCCGACGACGACGACGACGACGAGGAAAGTAACAGGGATGGCGCCAGAGACGTGTGCCTTGCCGCGACGCCTTTGCCTGAGAAGGAAGTTTCAATTGTTAGCAAGGAAAACTGATGTTTGTAGTATTTTTGTTTGTGTTTTTGTAGCACGCGCTGCGCTAACGACGCTCCTCCCACTCTTTGTGTTCTCTCAGTTTTTTTTGTTTGCTTTCACCCAATACATGTGCCAGCCTCCTTCTGGAGACTTTTTAACCTCACCCCTGTTTCTTTGTGTGTGTGTGTGTTGGCTTGCGTTGTATCGTTACGCGCCATGGCGGTGCCTCGGCGTGTCCTTTCGGTGGGCGCTCCCTGCGCGTGCGGGGGGCACGCTGACAAAGACGTAGAAGCCCGCACGCCCACACAATGCTCGCTATCACGCGTCCTGCGGGTGCTCTTCTGACGTTGGTGGTAGGAAGGGGGGAGAAATGCGGGCTGCCGCGGCTTGTTGCCCATGTGTGTGTGTGTGTTTTCTTTTGTGCAATGCCTGCTTGCCTGTACTACAGCTGCCTTTGCATGGCGCCTCTGCTTCCACCGCTGCTTCTTCTCTTTCTTTGCGTTGTTGCGGTTGCTGCTGCTTGCGTCCCACGCTCTTCGGAGTAGTTGTAGCGTGGCGTGCGAGCGAGCGAGCGTGGACGATGTTTTCCATTTCAATTTTCGTGCTGTTCCTGCTGGGCTGGGTTCTGCTCTGCTGCGTGTTTTATTGCTTCTTCTGGAACCGGCGACGGCAGCAGCAGAGCGAGGCCGGAGAGCATAATCCGGGGTTTGCCACGGCGCCGGTGCCGCAGCCGCGGGCGGAGAATCCGCAGCCGCAGAACTACGCGTACGGCCCCGCCCCGGCGCCGCAGCAGTTCTCTTCGTGGGGGCTGCCGCTAGACCAGCACCCGCCGCCGGCCGCGGCACCGGCGCCGCCGACCACCTACTCCCCTCCTGGCGACTCCGTGTTTGTGTACGGGCAGGCGGAGTACATCCCGCGGCCGAGCAATGGCTCGGTCTACGACGCCGTCGTGGTAGGCAGCACCAATGAAGCCAGAGGGACCCAGCAGGGTAAAGCGCAGAAGTGAGCCAAAAGAAAATAGAACTTAAAAAAAAAGGAAAATGGATGAGGAGGTCTGCCGTCGTGGGGGGTTGTCGCTACGGATACATGGAACGGGATGGAGCGAGACACACGTAGCACCGCCATGAGGGACTCTTTGTTCACTAGTTGCACATGTTTTTTTTGTCACTTGGTTTCCTCTTTTTTGCTTAGGCTCATTGTTATTAGAAGCGCGGGGGAGGCATTTCTGGTCGGGCGGCAGCTAGGCAAACGTTTGAGTGTTTTTCTTTGTTTGTATCCCCTTTGGTTCCTTTTCTTCTTTTTTCTAATATGCAAATTGTTGTTTGTTTGTTTTTTTCGTTCTCGCTCTTTGTGTGTGTGTGTGTGTGTTTATGGGGGGGGGGTTCGATGCTACCGCAATGGGAGGCAGCGTGTGCAGTTCCCTTCCACTTTGCCTTTTTTTTCTCGTGTTCCCCACCCATTGCTGCCTCTGCCCTCTGCACGGCGGGTCCGCTGGGTTGCGGTGCATCTCGTTTGAACTCGGCCTGTTGTTGGCCCATGAGCGCTGGGCGAAGATGCTCCGCGGCGTGCATGTGTGCGTCAGAGAGAGGAATAGTGGAGGAGAGGTGCTGGGCGCACGCTGAGCCAATCCGGGGATTTCATTGCCGTTCGCCCCCTCGCCCGCTCTCTCACGGCCTCTACGGGATTACGAGGGGCGCAGCCGCGGCTAGGCGCACAATACTTCGTGGGCGGTGCACGCTCATCTTTTTTGTTTTGTTACTCTCTTGATGACTTTCTCATTCTCCTTTATTCACTCTTCCGCTTCACTCCCTTTGCCGCCCTCCGGGCCACTGTCGCCTGCGATTCCTCCCTGGGCGAGGCATTCCGCTTCCGGCGCAGCAGCCAACAGAAAGCGGCTCTGCTGCCGGTGCAGCAAAGTGCGGTGACGGGCGGCTTTCTCCACTTTTTGCGTCCTTTTCCACCCAACCCCTGCACTGTCACACGCCTCTTTGACCCCGGTGTTTCCAGACACGCGTGGATGCCACGGCACCCACAGCAGCAGCCTTCCACCCCTTCCCCCGCTTTTTCACTTCTCATTGCTTCAGCTCATCGCAAAAATGGAAGATGCAGATATTAAGATCGCCATGATTGGCGTGTTTGTTATATTTGTGGCCGCCTTCATAGCACTTGTAGTAATGTTATGGAGGCGAAACCTGGAGGCCAAAAGGCGGCGAAGGCAGCTGCAGAGACTGCGGGACTGCCCGCCGGCCGAGCCGTTTGCGCCGCCGGCGCCGCTGCCGGCGATTGTTGACGCGGCGGTGGTGTTCACGTCCCATGAGGAGGCGCAGCGCCACGTCGAGGCAGGCGTCGCGCCGATCACGCGCGTGCACAGCGAGCAGCAGATGCCTTGTTTTTGCGCTTCCCCTGGCCGCCTCGGCAGCCCCGGCGCCGCGGCGGAGGGGAACGTCCTGCCTCGGGCCGCGCCCGGGGCGGTTATGCGGGGCTTGCCCATCGACCGCGGCCGCGGCCTGCCCAAGGTGGACGCGGACAGCTGCGGCTTGCGCCACCTCCCCGGGACGAGGTACCAACTGCGCGCCGCCAACGTCGTCTACGGCGAGGCGTCGTACCTCCCGGGCAGCGGCGGTGCGGCGTCGGAGGAGGAGGGACGGCCTGGGGCGGCCTCGCAGTCCCCGGGCGAGGGCCAGCGCCCTTGATGCCTTTTGCTGCCTTCCGGTGGCAGCGACCGAGTGCGTGGTGTCGGCTTGCCCTTTCTTGGCCGCCCGTTGCCTCCCTTCCCCACCGGCCCCTCTGTGCCGTCGCCAACGCCCGGCCCCGCGGATCCAGTG